ACGCGCTACTCGATCGAAAAGTTTGGCGTCCAAAAGGCCGACTGGTCGACCGACGATCTCAAGGAGTTTCTGCACTTTTTCATTGTCGGCGTCTCGGTGCTCGTCGTCGCGATCCCCGAAGGTCTCCCGCTCGCCGTCACGATCTCGCTCGCCTTTTCCGTCAAGAAGATGCTGGCGGACAACAACCTTGTGCGCCATTTGGGTGCGTGCGAGACGATGGGGTCGGCGACGACCATTTGCTCGGACAAGACGGGCACGCTGACGACCAACAAGATGACGGTCATGCAGTGCCGCATTGGCCACACCACGTTTGCGCCAGCGACCGACTTGGAGTCGCTCGCGTTGGCGCCGTTGACGCGCGAACGCCTCGTGCACGCCATGTGCTTGAACTCGACCGCCGAGTTGATTGGGCCCGAGCGTGCGCACACTGGCAACAAGACCGAGTGCGCGCTCTTGATGTTCGCGTCGGAGCTCGGCGCGCCTTCGTATGCGGCGCTGCGCAAGGACTTTGGCAGCGTTTGCCATTGGCTGCCGTTCAGTTCGGCCAAAAAGCGCATGTCGATCGTGTTGCCGTTGACGGCCACCACGACCCGTGTCTTTACGAAAGGCGCGAGTGAGATTGTCCTCGGTCTCTGCGACGCGCAGCTCCTTGAAGACGGGGCCTCGATCGCACTGAGTGACACCACGAGCCACATGGCGACAATCTCGTCGTTCGCCAAGAATGGTCTGCGCACGCTCTGCCTTGCCTTCAAGGACGTCGACGCGCCGTATGAGGTCGTTGCGACCATGTCCGAAGCGCAGCTGGAGACGAACCTGACGTGCATTGCGATCGTCGGCATTGAAGATCCGCTTCGCCCAGAGGTCCCCGGCGCCATCCGCCAGTGCAACCAAGCCGGCATCATCGTGCGCATGGTCACAGGCGACAACATCGACACAGCCACGTCGATCGCGGCCAAGTGTGGGATTCTTCCGGCGGACGATCCGGACGCGATCGTCATGGAAGGCGCGACGTTTCGCGCGGCGGTGCTCGACGCCCGTGGCAACATCAAGCAAGATGCGTTCGATGCCATTTGGCCCAACCTCCGCGTCCTCGCGCGGTCGTCGCCCCAGGACAAGTACACGCTCGTCTCGGGCATGATGCAGTCGACGATCCACGGGCCGCAGGTCGTGGCTGTCACGGGCGACGGCACCAACGATGCGCCGGCGCTCAAGAAGGCCAACGTGGGCTTTGCGATGGGCATTTGCGGCACGGCCGTCTCGAAGGATGCCTCGGATATCATTCTCATGGACGACAACTTCAAGTCGATTGTGAACGCGGTCAAGTGGGGCCGCAACGTCTACGACTCGGTCTCCAAGTTTCTCCAGTTCCAGCTCACGGTCACGGTGACAGCGATCACGCTCTGCGTCATTGGCGCCGTCGTCCTCGAAGAAACGCCGCTGACGGCGATCCAGCTCCTCTGGGTCAACTTGATCATGAACACGTTTGCGTCGCTCGCGCTGGCGACCGGGATCCCCACCGACGCGATGCTCGAGCGCAAGCCGTACCCGAAGACGAAGGCGCTCATCTCTAAGAAGATGACCAAGCACATTGTGGGCCAAGCGCTCTTCCAGCTCGCGGTGCTTCTGACGCTGACGTTCAAGGGCGAGGTGCTCCTCGCCATTCCGTCGGGCCGCAAGTACGAGATTACGTCGGCCGACCCGTCCCAGCACTACACAGTCATCTTCAACACGTTCGTCTTCCTCCAGCTCTTCAACGAGATCAACGCGCGCTGCATCCACGACGAAGCCACCATCATGGAAGGCTTTTTCGCCAACAAGCTGTACCTTGGCATCTCGGTGATCCAGGTCGTGCTTCAAGCGCTCATTGTGCAGTTTGGCGGCAGCGTCTTCGAGTGCGCGCCGCTGAGTGTCGGGCTGTGGTTTGTGTGCCTCGGCCTCGGCGCGCTGAGCTTGCCGATCGGGTTTTGCCTCCGCCGCATCCACTCGCACCACCTGCCAAAGTCGTTTGGCTTTGTTCGCAAAGCCCCGACGACCGCGCTTCGCTTCCGCCGATAACAGCCAACCAACGCTTGCTTGGTTGTCTCTCTGTCGGTCGTCGTCCCTCGTGCATTTGTCTTTTCTAGATATAACAACAATACCAATACATGTTTATGCACGAAATCAACCTGACATGGCCACGTATTATACCTGCTGCCACATGAATACAACCTTAACGTGCTGCCACGTCATGAGCTTTGAAACCGTTGACGGTTTCATTGGACGGAATATCCTGTTCAAGCAATGGTGTCCAAGACAAAGAGTATCGGAGCACTACACTCTTTTAAAGGTTTGGCTTTCCGAGACTTCGACTAAGGATAGGTCACCATAGATCTTAGACTAAGAATTCGACTTGGGAGAGTTCATCATAGATCTTAGTCGACACTGGCGGGCTTGTCAGGTAAAAGTGTCCACTCTTGTGCAGGGCTGGGACGGTCGTAGACAATGTCCCAGAGATGGCAACCGTTGCTGTCGCCCATGCCTGAGACGCGAATGCATTTGCTCGGGTCTTTGACCGACCGAATGAGCTTGCCGTCGTAGAGCCATTCTTGGTTGACCACTCGATAGCTGCGTGCAATGTCCGACACGTGGAGGACGACTTCATCATCTCGTGGCCGTGCGTGAGGCACTTGGATTTGTCCTTGGCCGACACTATCAAGAGCCCATGCATGCTCCACGCTTGGGCCGGGAAGCATTTTCTTGGTTGTCCCGAGGACGCATCGGTCGTCATTGCCGCTGCCACGGCGCCGCTTTCAAGCTGCAAATGCAAGGACGGATGCTTGACCGAGTGGAAGCAGTACGCCGACTTTGGATTCGGCGCGCGCTCCAGGAGAGTGGTAGGCTCGGTGTGGGTCGGGTACAGCGGTAGCAAGTGCTTGGGCGAGCTAGTGATAGCGCGTAATGCGAGAAATGGCTTGACTGGCGGGTGCGTCGTCGATCGACGGCGAATCCAGCACAGCTGTGGCTCTACAGGGTGTACAATTACACTGACGTAGAATGCGCAGCTCTTGTCTGATAAAAGCGACACACCAGCAGTCAAGACAGGCCATAGTCATTGACAAAAATACCTGGACGTTGTGCTGTGGCAGATCCCACAGTCTCGTAAAATACACCTACCCCTCGAGGAACAGTGCTTTGCTGGTTAGTCTCGTTCTATCTATCCAAACACCTCTTCCTGGTAACGCGCAGAGTGCACGAATGACGTCCACTGCTCTGCCGACAAATGTCGCTGGAGGACATCGCGGACTTGGGACACCATGCGCTGGCGCCCGCAGACAAACACACTTGCGTCCTCGTCCACAATAGCTTTCTGAACCCACGGCATTTGGCTTCCGACCATGTCTTGTACATACATGGTCGGACCGGCCGACGGGTCGCGCGAGTAGGCGTAGTGTGTCTGCACGCCGCGCTGTAGTAATTCGTCCTCAAAGAGCCGCGCCGATGCCGCGCGGCACCCAAAAAAGAGGTGCGTCGGGCCGCACGTGGCCGGTCGTTGCTGCCACAGCGCCCGCATCGGTGCGATGCCTGAGCCCGCGGCGATCAGAAGCAGTGGCCGCGACGCGTCAGGTGGAAAGACGTACGTTGACGGCTTGGTGTAACCACGCAACGGCACGGCCGCGTCGGGCCCGAGAGGTCCGAGCGCGTGCAGGTACGCCGCCATGACGCCAAAGTGCAATGTGGTATCGGGCGTCGGCGGCGGCACGGCGATGCAGAGGTCCATGGTGGGCGCGTCCAGCAAATGCGACGCGATCGTATAGCTCCGCGGCGCCATTGGCGACAAGAGCGGGAGTAGGTCGACGAGCGAGAGTTGAATAGACGCAAAGTTCGTGAGCAGCCCAATGACCGTGTAGTGGGGTAGGTCTGCGTAGGCTTTCGACCCGTCGAGGGACCCAAGGTGGGCGAGTTGCGACCGCTCGCCGTCGTCGGTGGCCAACGGCGCAAGACCTGAGAGGAGGCTGCGCGAAATCGTTTGGCAGTCGACCTCGTGCGTGAGTACCGATCGAACCGTTGCCGGTGTACGAAACGGGGCATCGTCGCCAGTATAGGTCACGTAGTGGTCGAGCAACGCGTTGCAGCGGCACGCTAAACTCTCGACAATGCCATCCGGGTTGCAAGGGTAGACTACCAGATGGTCTGTGCCCCGGGCCCGCGCCGTCGTGTCGGCAAAGCCGACGGTCGCCACAACAACACCAGCGTTCGGGTGGTACGTGATCGCAGTCCAGTGTAGCGCCACGTACGGAGGTGCGGCGCTAAGTGCCAATGGTGGCGTGTCGGGCTTGGTGCGGTGAAGTTGGAATTGCGACTTCAGGGGCGGGGCAGTGGACGCTACCGTGGTCGTCGTTGCCAGTGCGGCCCAGAGCCCGGCTTCCCACGTGAGGAAATCGCGCTCCAAGTCGTTGAACGCATCGCCAAGTCCGAGCGCGTAAAAGCGGTGGCCGCCACGCGCGGCGAGCTGGGCGTCGACGGCCTTGCCCATCCCATTGTACGAGTCTGCATAAATGGAGCTGCCGACGCCAAAGACACAAAACTCGATCGCGAGCGATGCGGTCGACGTCGAAAGCCAGTGAAAGAACAACGCCGCATTCGTCGTCGGACCGCCTGTCCCGTACGAGGCCGTCATAAAGATATAGCGCCGGCCGCCGACAAGCTGCTGGGCGTCAAAGGTCTCGAGCCCGTGGACCGAGATCGGGATCGCACGCGCCGCGCCAAGGCGCCCGAGGCGCAGCGCCAGCGCTTTCGTTCCGCCCGACTCGGAGCCATAAAAGACAGTGACCGATTGCGGGCCGACTTTGCTGTCGCCGCCAAAGCACGACGCAAACCACCCGCGGAGGCCCATCCCAACGACCGTTTCGTTAATACGCGATGGAATTCAGTCAAGTGGATACTTCTTTTGTCCATGCGTCGCCTGTCTACCCGAACGGCGTCGAGAAGCCGCCGTGGCTCGTGGCCTGCTGCAGCGTACCCATGATCCAGTTGATTCGGCCATACGAATCCCACGTACGCTTGTCAGCAGTGGCTTGCCCAGGAGCATCGGAGCTGACAAGGAACATCGCATCCACGTTGAGCAGCACGGTGAATCTGTTTGTGGAAATGTCTTGTGAATCTGCTTATGGGCACTCAACAGTCGTACAGTGTTCCGTCGCGCGCGTCGTATTCTTTGCGTGGACGCCGGCCGACTGCGGCCTCGTCAACGCTTCTCAGCTTATCAACAGAATTTATTCTCTCCTTCTCGCTTCTCGCCTTCGCGTCTCGCCGCGGTCCTCGGTTTGCATTACGGGCGGCCTGAGGTACTTGCACTTGATGGTCCAGCATCACGGCCTGCGACACGGCTGCCTGTCCTTTGTCCCTCTTGCTGTTTGTATGGTGATCACCACTGCATAGAAAAACCAAGTCAAACAGAGTGTGTGTTGGCGGTAGAGTTCAATGTTTTTGACATTCTTGGGCATGACGTTTGTGGGCAAGGTCTGCGCGGCCGCGATCGCGACGCCGTACGACGGGTCATCGCCCGACAAGGTGGCGTCTAAGACCAAGGTGCTCGAGGACCTCGTGAGCCTTCTCCAGGACGAGGCAAAAGCCGTCTCGCTCTTGACCGAGACGTCCATGCCCCATGTGATGCACATGCTGCAGCTCAACCTCTTCCGCGCGCTGCACCCGCCCCGCGCCGACTTTGATCCGGACCAAGACATGCCCGAGAAGGACATTGCGTGGGTGCACCTCCAGCCTGCGTACTCGATTCTGACGTACGTCGTCCGCGCGCCGATTGCGCCCCGCCTGGCCAAGCGCCACATCACGCCGTCGTTTTGCTCGCAACTGCTCGGGCAGCTCCGCAGCGAGGACCCCGACGAGCGTCTCGTTGTCGCAACACTTCTCCACAAGCTCTACGCCAAGTTCAAGAGCCTCCGCGCCTCGTTTCGTCAGTCGGTCGGCCACATTTTTCTGCAGTTTGTCGATGACCCAACAACGTTTCCATTTGGCATTGGTGAGCTCCTCGAGGTGTTTGCGAGCATCGTCAAGGGCTTTGCGACGCCGCTGTTGCACGACCACGCGACCTTCATGACCAAGCACCTTCTCCCGCTCCTCAAGCCCACGAGCTTGCCGACGTACCACCAAGCGCTGCTCCTCTGCCTCAGCATGTACCTGGAGAAGGACCCCAAGACGGTTCACCCGATACTAGCGCATACGCTCAAGTTTTGGCCGTGGCAAGCGACGTCCAAGCAGATTTTGTTTTTAAACACGCTCGAAGAAACGCTCGAGCTGACGCCGATCGAAGAGCTCAGCACGTTTGAGAAGCGCCAGGTCACGTCGGTGATCGCCAAGTGCCTCCAAAGCGATCACTTTCAGGTCGCCGAGCGGTCCCTGTTCCTCTGGAACAACCCGTACTTGATCAATCACTCGGTGCTCAACCAAGACCATGCGCGGGAAGTGTTGCCGACCTTCTTTCCCGCGCTCTTCAAGGCCTTCAAGCTCCATTGGAACATCACTGTGCGCGGCCTCGCCCGGGTATCGCACGTTTGGTTGCTTGTAGGTTGACGTCTTGTGTAGAGTGTGCTCGAGATGTACACCAAGTACGACTTTGCCACGTATCGGCGCTGCCTCGAAAACTTTGAAGCGGACCAGCTCGCGCTTCTGGCAGCCGACGCGAAGAAGGAAGCCAAGTGGAGAGCCCTCTTCGAGCGCGTCGCGATCGTCGGGTAGAACGCCACGCTGTGATAAGACGACGATGTATATATATACTTGCACATGTTTATGGCACGCAATACAACCCATGACGCGATGGCCACAGTGGTGTGTTGGCTCTAGCCGGTAGCCTCTCTTTCCTATCACGTGCTGACGCGATGACGCTTG